ATGCCTCTTTCCAGAATCCAGCTGTGCTCAGGGCTGTGCAGACCTGAGCCGTGGGGCCTGGGGAGGAATGGACACAGAGAGGAATCTTTAGTGCAGAGGGGATGGGGAGAAGGGAAAAGAGGAAGAGGGGCCGGGCCTGCCCTGGGGCCTCCTGTCTCCAGGCACCCATCAGGAATAGTCAGAGGTCAGTCTACAGTAGGGAGGTGGGGGGCTGATGGGACTAGGAGGCAGAGCCATCCAGGTGTCACTGCCCCCACCCCTTATTCATTTTCTCAAAATAGTCTGGGTCACAAGCACCCTACCCCGCGGCTGAGTCATGGAGCCCCGTCCTCAGATCAGACTTGGATGAATGAAGCTGTGCCCTCACTGCTCCTCCCCTTCCCCCACCCCCTTCCAGAAAGGACATGTAACCGATTCCCCAGGATGGAAGAGTGACTTCCACAAGCCCTAAAAATAACTGAACCACTTCATACTCCGAACTTAGCCTCTCCCGCCCGCTCCCCTCCACCCTCCCACCCCCACCCCAGCCAGCAAGATAAAGGCAGCTGCTGGGCCTGGCAGGGGACAGAGACCCGGAGCCAGGGCAGCGAGAAGGCACCTCACAGATCTAGCCAAGTAGAACCAGCCCTGAGCTAGAAGGTTGAGAGGAAGGACAGACCCTTGGGCCGCACCTGCCACAGACCCCAAGTACCCACCACCCACCAGCGGGTGAGTACAGAGGTGGGGTCTTTCAGGACAAGACTGGCTAGCCAGCTGGGGTCCCCTTTGGACCCTCGGGATGGTTCTCAGGACAGCAGGCATTCGGGGTGGCAGAAAGAGGTTGAGCCCTAACCAGTTTGTCTCAGTGGATAGAGCGTCGGCCTGCAGACTGAAGTGTCCCAGGTTCGATTCCGGTCAAGGGCATGTACCTTGGTTGCGGGCACATCCCCAGTGGGAGGTGTGCAGGAGGCAGCTGATTGATGTTTCTCTCCCACCAATGTTTCTAGCTCTCTATCCCTCTCCTTTCCTCTCTGTAAAAAAATCAATAAAATATATTTTAAAAAAAAGAAAGGAAGAAAGAAAGAAAGAAAGAAAGAAAGAAAGAAAGAAAGAAAGAAAGAAAGAAAGAAAGAAAGAAGAGGTTGAGGGGCCGTATATCTGGATGTAAGTGAGTGGAGGGATCTCTGATATAAAGATTTAAGGGAGATTTGACGTGAGCCCCATGGGAGTCTCAGGGTGGTGGCCACAGGCCTGGGCCAACAAAAGGGACACGTTCTTACCAGTCGGATACAAATCCAGAAAGGCATCCAGGAGGAAGTGGCCTGTAGTTGCACTATTTAAAACACAGGTGTGGAGCCCCCTGGGCTTCAGGGCTTCCTCCCAGGAAGGCCCCGTGTGGGAAGGAAAGGGAGAGAGGAGAGGTGGTGGGAGGGCACACAGGTGGAGGGTGGGAATCGGCTCCAACTCTGCATTGCTAGACAAGCCCGGTGCCCAGCTGTTGTGGGTGAAAGTCCTGGCATATCTGGCCCCAGGAGTGTCCCCAGGGCTGGCCTGTGCCTGGCTCCCCACATAGCATGACCTAGACTCTGCCCCAGGCCATCATCCCGCCCAGGGGGAACACCCTGGGGGAAGGCAGATCTGGGGAGCGGCACAGGGTGGAGGGCAAGGTCTGAGTCTGCCAGAAGTGGAGACTTGCAGAAGGACTGGGCCAAGGAGGGGCACACTGGGAACAGAGGTGGGGTCATCCTGAGGGGCTGGCCAGCCCCAGGAGGCCAAGCTCTGGGACACTGCTTGGGGCTCAGCCCACACACCAAGTCTGGTCCCAGTTCTGAATTCTGCCCTCCCCAACCCCCATCCCCGCCTTCTAGAAACTTAAGCTCCAGGCAGGGGCAGGCATGGGGAAGCCAAGAGTTCGGAAACCTGCTTCGGGCCCTGAGACTGCTTTGCGGAGCCTACAGGGCAGCACCTTTCCCCTCTTTGGGCCTCAGTTTCCCTGTCTGAACCCACAATAGCTGGACACAGAGCTTGTCCTCAGCTTCAGTGACCTCTGGGGGTCCTCAGGGCTGACGTCCCTGGACTCCGGGACTCTAACTGTCTGGGGCCATAGCAGGGATTCTGGAGATTCCTGGGGGTGGGGGAGGGGTGGAGTTGCTGGCCTTGCACAAGCCATCTGCTCAGGCCACACTGGTGGTGACAGGATGGAGAAGGGGTGGGGACAGGCACGGTTTGCCTTTGGCAGGGGGTCCTCATTAGAACTCAGAGACCCCAGAACGTGTGGTGAGACTCACGTGGCAGGTATCAGAGTTTGAATCCCTCAGGGTTCTGATGGTTTTGGTGGACAAGATGGGGTGAGGGGAGGTCTCAGTTCCCCACTCTGAGATAGCTATATCTGGGAGCCTCTGCCCTGGAGATGCCCAAAAGTGCCCGCCTGCTCTAGTGATTCTGAGAATTGAAACCCTGCCCCACCTGCGGCCACTGTCCCTGACCCTCCAATCAGCCCCCATGCCCCTTTGTCCAGGAAGGGTTTCTGGCCCCAGCACCGGCCATCCTGCAGGCCAACGGCCTGGCTAGGTTAAGGTAGGAATCTATGCTCCCAGGAAGGAAAGGTGCTGTCGCTTTGGAACCTGTACAAAGCTTTACCCCATGGCATTGCCTTCCTTCCCCAGGAGCCAGCCCTTCTTCCCTCTAAATCTTTCATCAAAATGCAAAAACATTGCACTGTAATTATTTGTTACATGTCTATTTCCACGAGCTAAGGGGGTAGGGATCCCAGGGAAGATAAGGAGATGAGATGGGCCAAGGCCCCCAGGGTCCCACTGGCTGAGCCTGAGCCTCTGTCTGGAGCCCAGGGCTGCGCTGCCAGGCCAGGCCCTCAGCTATATTTAGCATCCAGTGTGGAGCGGGGCCATGGGTCAGGGGCGGCAAGAGGGGCGCATGCTTCTCATTCTTTTCCGATGGGCCTCTGGGGATTGTTAGTACACCTGTCACAAGACAGATAAGACACAGAGGACAGAGACCAGAGAAGGGCTGGAGGGGTGGGAGGCCGTGGAGGGGGGCAGGGGTGAGCTGGGGGGGAGGGGTGTGGGAACGCCATGGTGGAACCTGGTTGACATGGACGGAGAAAGAAGAGGACCCCGGAGTGGTTACGGGCTCATTGCACACAGTTGGGACCGAGTCTCCATGAGCAAGGCGCAGGGCGGTCTCTGCAGAAGGTCCCACTGCCCATCTCCCCTGTAGGTGTCACCCTCACTCTCCTAGGGGTGTCTGCTGGGGAACAGAGGGGCACCACAGCCGACAGGAAAGTTTTACACCCCCTACCCTCTAATCTCTTGGGAGCCAGGCCTCAAAAGGGTCCAGGAACCCCAGGCCAGCACTGCCTGTTATTCATTCACCAAGATCTGACCCTTTCTGGGCCTCAGTTTCCTCATCTTTAATTATGAAAGGTTGGGTCTGAAGACCCTCGGGATCTCCCTGGCTCAGACCTCTGAGTCTTGGGTATAGCACAGAAACCCCTACCTGGGATTCAGGATCTGGCTCTGCCTAACCATGAGATACCTGGTGAACCTCTAACTGCTTCTGCTGGAGCAAGGGCTGTGGGCCCCCTGGGCCTGGGAAAGGGTGGACAGTGAGTTGAAAGCCTAGGTGGAAGTTGGGCAAGACTCTCAGTGAACGTGGCAAGAGCGCCCCCTGGTGTTATGGGAGAGAATTTCTTCTCTATGGGAAATACCTAGGCACTTGTTTAGGGACCTGCCTCTCCCTCTCTGGGACCCATAAATCAGGATTTCCTCAGGCCCCTGTCCTGGGACTCCGCCAGGGAAAACTGATTTTGGTAAAGGAAGGTGAGAATGGGGCCTGTCCAGGTAGCCAGCTGGAGGTCTGAACATCCTTTGTGGGGCTGAAGGACAGCAATGTCTTGGCCAGCAATGTCTTGCTTGCTCAGGTGATTCTTGGGAAGCCTGGACCCATCTTAGTAAGATGGGTCCATATGCCCTAAATTTAAGATGGGTCACACACTTGCCGAAACCGGTTTGGCTCAGTGGCTAGAGCATCGGCCTTCGGACTGAAAGGTCCCAGGTTCGATTCCGGTCAAAGGCATGTACCTTGGTTGCGGGCACATCCCCAGTAGGGGAAATCGATGTTTCTAACACTCTATCGATGTTTCTAACTCTATCCTTCCCCCTTCCTCTCAGTAAAAAAAATCAATAAAATATATTTCTAAAAAATAAAATAGATTGGTCACACGCCAAGCATGCAGGTGGCAGAGTGAGACCCAAGAGAAGTCTGGGAGAGGCCATGTCGCCACAGCCCTGCTCTGACCCTGCTGTGGCGACATGGCCTCCTGCTCCCTCCCATTTCCCCCCAGCCACCAGCCCCCCTCCCACCTAAGGCCCCAGCCCATCCTCACCTCTGCCCTTCTCTTCAGAAGGATGTCCAACACCCAGACGCAGGTGGCCCCCACGCCCACCATCCCGATGGCCGCGGCCCAGGACCTGCCCCTCCCTCCGCCGCCGCCGCCGCTGGAGGACCTACCGCTGCCCCCGCCCAAGGAATCCTTCGCCAAGTTCCACCAGCAGCGGCAAGCCAACGAGCTGCGCCGCCTCTACAGACACATCCACCCCGAGCTCCGCAAGAACCTGGCGGAGGCCGTGGCCGAGGACCTGGCCGAGGTCCTGGGCGCCGAGGAGCCCACCGAGGGGGACGTCCAGTGCATGCGCTGGATCTTCGAGAACTGGCGGCTGGACGCCATCGGGGACCACGAGAAGCCGGCAGCAGCCAGGGAGCCGGTGCCCAGCGGGGACGTCCAGGCCACCTCCCGCAGGTTTGAGGAGGGCTCCTTTGCCGGCGGCACGGGCCAGGAGCCCGCCGGACCCCCTCCGCCCTCGGGAGCGGACGTGCGTGCAGCCCGCCGGCTGTTTGAGACGAAGCCGCTGGCCGAGCTCACGGGCCAGACCGAGGAGGCCCCGGCCCCGGAGGCGCCCGCCAAGGAGCCCGCGGCCAGTGGCGACGTGCAGGGCACCAGGATGCTCTTCGAGACGCGGCCCCTGGACCGCCTGGGCTCCCGGCCCTCCGCCCAGGAGCAGAGTCCCCTGGAGCTGCGCTCGGAGATCCGGGAGCTGAAGGGCGACGTGAAGAAGACGGTGAGGCTGTTCCAGACGGAGCCGCTGTGCGCCATCCGGGACGCTGAAGGCGCCATCCACGAGGTCAAGGCCGTGTGCCGGGAGGAGATCCAGAGCCACGCGGTGAGGTCAGCTCGCTGGCTCTTCGAGACCCGACCTCTGGATGCCATCAACCGGGACCCCGGCCAGGTGCGGCTGATCCGGGGCATCTCCCTGGAGGAGGGGGCCCGGCCGGATGTCAGCGCGACCCGCTGGATCTTCGAGACGCAGCCCCTGGACGCCATCCGGGAGATCCTGGTGGACGAGAAGGACTTCCAGCCGTCCCCAGACCTGCTCCCCCCGGGGCCAGATGTCCGGCAGCAGCGGCACCTGTTTGAGACCCGAGCGCTGGACACGCTCAAGGGGGAGGAGGAGGCTGGGGCGGAGGCCCCGCCCAAAGAGGAAGTAGTCCCTGGGGACGTCCGCTCCACCCTGTGGCTGTTTGAGATGAAGCCCCAGGACACCCCCAGAGGCCAGGTCCAAGTGGGTCACCTGCAGCGGGTGGGCCCCGGGCAGGGAGAGGGGCTCATGTGTGCGCATCTGTCCAGTGACAGCTTCTCGGCACTGTCCCTCCCTCCAAGCGCCCCCCAGAAGGACGGGGTGAAAGGGGACGTGAAGACGTTCAAGAACCTTTTTGAGACCCTTCCCCTGGACAGCATCGGGCAGGGCGAGCCTTCCACCCCCGGAAACGGGAGCGAAGTAGCAGGAACGGATTCCGCTGGGCAGGCCCAGGACACGGGGTCCCCGGTGTATGCCGTGCAGGACGGCAGAGGCCACCTCCACGCCCTGACCTCGGTCAGCAGAGAGCAGGTGGTCGGAGGCGATGTGCAGGGCTACCGGTGGATGTTTGAGACGCAGCCTCTGGACCAGCTGGGCCGAAGCCCCAGCACCATCGACGTGGTGCGGGGCATCACCCGGCAGGAAGTGGTGGCTGGAGACGTGAGCTCCGCCCGGTGGCTCTTTGAGACCCAGCCCCTGGAGGTAATCCACCAGCGGGAGCGGCAGGAACGACAGGAAGAGGAAGGAAGGAGCCAGGCAGGGCCCCAGCCGGAGGCACCCCCCAAGGGTGATGTGCAGACCATCCGGTGGTTGTTTGAGACATGCCCGATGAGTGAGTTGGCAGATAAGCAGGGGTCAGAGGTCACAGACCCCACAGCTAAGCCCGAGGCGCGGTCCTGCACCTGGATGTTCGTGCCCCAAACCCTAGACAGGCCAGAAGGCTCCAGGGACCAGCACCTGCAGGTTTGCCAGGTCCGGGATGGAGAAAGACAGACAGACAGACATGTCTTTGAGACCGAGCCTCTGCAGGCATCAGGCGGTCCCTGTGGAAGAGCACCTGTGCGATACTGCAGCCGCGTGGAGATTCCTTCAGGGCAGGTGTCTCGTCAGAAGGAGGTGTTCCAGGGCCTGGACGCAGGCAAGAGGGAAGACCAGGGGCCAAGGGCAATCCCTGAGCCCATCCCTGTGGGCTCTGTGCACAAGTTCACCTGGCTCTTTGAGAATTGCCCCATGGGCTCCCTGGCTGCCGAGAGCATCCGTGGGGGCGACCTCCAGGAAGAGCAGCCAGTGGGCCCGTCAGGTTCGGTGCCCAAGAGGCAAGAGACTGCAATCCAGGGGACCCTGAGGACTCTGCATGCCACGCCTGGCATCCTGCACTGTGGAGGCATCCTCATGGAGGCCCGAGGGCCAGGGGAGCTCTGCCTTGCCAAGTATGTGCTCCCGGGCCCAGGACAGGGGGCCCCCCACATATGGAAGGAGGAGCTGCTATCTGGCGAGCTTCCCAGGATTGTCCGCCTAGTGCTGAGCCGGCCAGACGTGGACCAGCAGGGGCTGCTGATTCAGGAGGACCCTGCGGGCCATCTCCGGCTCAAGCCCATGAGGCTTCTAGGAGGCAGCGGGAATGTGGACGATCTGGACCCAGAGTTCCAGCAGTTGCTAGCTTGTGGCTTGGGCACCTCGGTGGCGAGGACTGGGCTGGTGATGCAGGAGACAGAGCAGGGCCTGGTCTCACTGACTGCCTACTCCCTGCAGCCCTGGCTCACCAGCAGGGCCCCCGAGAGGAGCAGTGTGCAGCTGCTGGCCAGCTGCATAGACAAAGGAGACCTGAGCGGCCTGCACAGCCTGCGGTGGGAGCCACCGGCTGACCCAGTTCCGGTGCCAGCCAGCGAGGAGGCCCAGCGGCTGCCTGCAACGGAGAGCATCATTCACGTGCCCCCACTGGACCCCAGCATGGAGATGGGGCACCTGAGAGGCCCAGGGGCCGCCCCTGGTACTCCACGGACCATTGCAAAGAGAAGCCTGCTGGCTGACAAAGAAAAGCAAGAGGACGGTTGTGCTGGGCAGAAAGGGTCGGAAGCTTTGGGAAAGTCGGAAGGAGCCTTGACGACATCACCAGGGCCCGGGGCAGCAGACCTCCAGGCCGCCATGCAGGGTCTTCGGATGGCGACAGCGGAGGCCCAAAGCCTGCAACAGCAAGTGCTGAACAAGCACAAGCAGGGCCCCGCCCCCGGAGCTGTCTCCACACCCTTCCAGGATGGTCTTCCGCAAGCACCGGCCGCTGCCACTGGGACTGCTCAAAGCAACACCAGGCCTACGGCTGGAGGTGACCCCAGGATCCCAGCAGCCCCCAAAAAGGTCAGTGGGGAACAGAAAGTACTGCCCACGGGGCTGCCTGGGGGGCGGGTGACTATTCAGGACGGCATCTACAATGCTCACCCCGTGAGGACCTGTGACCTACCTGGGGGTGTTCAGCCCCCTGAGAGGGAACACCCACCCAGGGGCAGGGAGACTGCCCGCTTGGCTCAGGCTTCCAGCCCACTCCACGAATGCCCAGGTCAGAGTCTTGGGCAAAGCCGGAAAGAACCTGGGGGCTGCACACAGAGAGCCTGGGGGTCTCCAGAGAAAGCCATGGCCGAAGTCAGCCCCCAAGCTGCAGAGACCACCCTGAAGGCTGCCTCTTCAGCCCATTACACTCTGACCTCTGGGCCTCCGGCTGCAGGTGCCAGCCTGCATTCCCATAATGCCTCTGATCCTCCTCCTCCTCTCCCAGCTGCTGTGACAGGACCTGACTTCCCGTCCCAAGCCCACCGTGATGAGGACTCCAGCTCTGCCAGCCAAAGAAGCCCTAGGGAGTCACAAACAAAGACCCCAAATCTGGAGCCCACCGTCCCACCAAGAAAGAAGCCCCAGCCGCCCCCCAAACCTGCACACCTAAGCCAGATCCCCCCTCCTCGGAGGCTGCCCAACCCCTCAGCTCCATCTCCCAGCTCCTCGCAAGGAAAATACAAACAGGGTGAGACAGAGGCAGCCACGCCTCGGCCAGCCAAGGTCCCCACCACTACAGGCCAGGGACATGCATCTCTGGCTGGATTCTTCAGTGGTCAGAGCCAGCCTGGCCCTCAGCATGGTCCCAGCACCATGGCCCCTGGGCCCACCAAGAGTCAGGCTATGGGCAGCAATGTGGCTATGGGCAGCAATGTCCAGAGCCCTGAGCCCCCCAAGCTCTCAGCTCTCAACAGTGACCCTACCTCACCACGGCAGGGCCCCGGCACCCCAGGAGAGAAGCTGATGGAAGGTTCCCAGCAAGGGGCCCCTGAGAGCTGTGAGACTCAGCAGGGAAGCCCGCAAGAGCTCCAGAACCTCCTGAGCCAGGTGCAAGCCCTGGAGAAGGAGGCTGCGAGCAGCATGGACGTGGGGGCGCTGAGGAGAGTCTTTGAGGCTGTGCCCCAGCTAGAAGGGGCCCAGGCTCCTGCTGCCCCCCATAAGCCTGAGGCCTCGATGGAGCAGGCCTTTGGGGAGCTGACGAGAGTCAGCATGGAGGTCTCCCGGCTGAAGAAACAGACCCTGGCCAGGCTGCTGAGCATCGAGGAAGCTGTGCACAAGGCCCTCAGCTCCATGTCCAGCCTCCAGCCCGAGGCTAACACCAGGGGCTATCCCCAAGGCCCCCCAGAGGACCACGGTGCCTACAAGGTCAGTGTCATAGACAGCAGTGGAGCCAGGCCCAACTGCTCAGGGGAGAAAGTCAGGGGTCAAACTGCAACCAGGAGCCAACCCGAGGTTACGTGCCACACTGAGGTCCAGAGTCAAGCCGAGGTCAAAAATCACACAGAAACCGGAGGTCCAGCAGACTCACTCGCGCCTTCCACCAGGAGGATGGAGACATTGAGAGAAGATGCAGGCATCCCTCCAGTCTCGCCTTCTAGCAGAGATGCACCCTCCTCCCCAACCTTCATCTCCTTTAAGTCAGCTGCAAGGAAGCTTCCAGAGGCTCCCAGCCCCGGGGGCAGCCCAGCTGTCTCAGTGCAAAGCGCATACCTGGCCCAGGATGTGAGCCAGGCCCCGTTCCACCAGAAAGGTATCTGGGCCAAGGCTGGGGAAAAGGAGATCACCCAGGGGTCTGGACAGCCTGGGCCTACCCTTGCCTCAGCCAGCACCCTGCCTGGGGCCCAGAAGAGGGTCCTGGAGCTCCAGACTGGGCCTGGGGGCTCCCAGCGCTGGGAAACCATGAGAACTGGGACTGAGCAGTACACGGAGGTGGGCCAGTGCGGGAACGCCCTCCTCACACCCTCCACCATGGCCACGGAGCAGGCAGGGCCCGCGGGGGGCCCAGGTCCCCACCTCGGGCTCCAGGCCTCCCCCTTGCTAAAGCCGTTCCTGCACAGCCCCGCCGAGCTCAGCGGTCACTCCCAGCCTGCAGCCCAGTGAGCCCCTCCGCCTCCCACCTGCCCTGGGAACTGTGGTGGGTGCCTCTGACCTGCACACATGGCAGGATGGCAGGACCAAGAGGAAAGGGCCTCTTTTGTCAGCTCCCTCACTAAGGCCCAGTTCTTGCAAAAGGAGAAAGATTGGGAAAAGGCCCACGGAGCCGCCGGGCCCAGGCGTAGGATGGGGGCTAGCAGCTGTTTGTGGAGGTGATGTGAGCAGACAGTGTGCTCCTCACACAGGGCTGGTCGGCACGCTGACATCCATGAGTCTGCACACCACTGCTCCAGCCGGAGTCCCCGGAGTGACCTGCCACCCTCAGCCTTTATTTCTATTAAAGTCGAAATGTTCTCAGCCATCTGTGCCTTAAGTCCCGGAGAGGACAGGGTCAGCTAGACGCTGGATGGGGCTGTGTTCGGGATCAGGCTGAGGGCTCCCGAAGGGCCCTGCTGCAGCCCTCCGTCACCATCTCCACGGGTCAGAGGGTCATCCCGGCAGCCCAAAGGGCATAGACAATGTCGCCAATCAGTAATGCCCCTAGAAGCCAAAGGTTCTGCGTCCCCACCCCCACTGCCCCTCGCTCGGCACCCAAATGGGAAGGAAACAGTCTGAATAAACCCAAGTTTTATTCTCTCCACTGCGTGTGTCTGACTATTTTGTGCATCTGGGTCCCCACTGTGGGGGGAAATAGCCACAACCTCCAGGTGCCCCATTTCCCTGGCAACAGCAGTGCTGGAAGCCACTCCTCTTCTACCATCTTGGCTGGGACCCACGAAAGCCTGCCCACACCCCTGTTCTCCTCACTCCTCTTGCCCACCCCCTCACACACACACACACACACACACACACACATACACTGCTGACCCTCTACCTCTGGCCTCTCCCTGGTGGTTCTTGGACATCCTCCTGGATGGCGGCTGACCAGAATGCTGCTCCAGAGTGGCAGCATGGCCCGGGCAGGCCCGGAAAGGAGGGAGAGCCTCATGCCAGGAGAACTCCATGCCAGGAGAAGCCAGAGGGATTCTATCCAGCAGCAGGTGAGTTCTAATGGGCCCTGCTCACAAGGTACTGACTTTCCAGAATGAGCACACTGAGCCCATGGATAGGAAACACTGGGTCAGCGCAACGCACCTGACTGGGCCGCTCTCCCATTCTGGGGCGGAGGTCTTAGAATATAACAATGTGACATTGATAGGTGGTTGCCTTAGAGGCCTTGGCCAAGACAGACCTCTCTAATGAAATCAAACAAACAAACAAACAAACAAACAAACACAACAACAACAACACACACACACACACACACATACACACACACACACACACACACACACACACACATCCTAGGATCTGAAGAGTAAAATGCCAGTTATTTGAGAATCAGGGGGAGCTGCATGCTAGGCAGAGGGAAGAGCACGTGCAAAAACCCAGCGGTGGGGAGTTCATTGCTGGATTTCCTAGAGAGCCCTCTGCAGGAAGGGGCTTTAACAACTACGATTGTCTGCCACCCCCCATCCGGCCCCTCCAAGGCTATGTGGGAACTTGCTCTTGAACAGGCAGGCTCCTGTCCTACCAGCAGCCAGGGGCTCAGCCCTCACGCGCTCACAGTCTGCTCGCTGCCTGCTGTGCTGATATGGGGGCTCCCTCAGGGCAGTGGCGTTCTGACCTGGAAGGAGCCGGTCACTTGTGGGAAACTGCTGCGGGGGAGCAGTAAGACACCAAATCTACCCGCCTGAGCCTGATGCCCACCTCTCGACGGGCCCCTTGGCACCCATCTCCCTCCCATGTCCTCTGTGGCATCTCACCTGATTGTAGGGCCCAGCATCTTCTAGGGTGGCTGTTCTCAGCGCCTCACCTGTAAAGTGGGCACAGTGATAGGAGCTACTATTGTGAAGATTACGTGAATTAATTACGTTCACGTTTAATATTGTCATGATATGTTTCAACATATCTCTTCTCACCTCCAGGTGGAGTCCCTGTCTTGCTCATCTCAGTATCTCTAGCGCTCATCACGAGTGCCTAGAAGACACCTCGTGAATGTCAAATCAATGAACACACAGATGAATGAAGTGATGACGTGCGTTCACTGATTCATCCGAATAACATTTATTGAGCATCTACTTCATGCCGGATTCCGCTTCCGCGCTAAGAACAGAGAGAGAGAATTTATCCCTAACTAACCTCCTGGAGCGTAGGTTTCAAGAGGGCAGACACTGTAGTATAAGCGGATAGGATGACTTTAGAGGAGAGCGATGACACTGTGAAAGGAAATAAAATGCCAGGTGGGTCCAGGAGAAGAGGGTGGCAGTCACTTGGTTGGGGGGGGGGGGGAGAAGGAAGGCAGAAGAGCCGGTCCTCAGGGCTGGAGGCGGAGGCGGCGGGGGAAGAGGGAAGAGAGCTGTGGGGAGGGAGGGATGGGTGGTGATCACGTGGGCAGCTGCGTGCACCCAGGACTGCGGAGGCCGCGGGGTGAGGCCTCGCCCAGCCCCCTGCACACCTGCCGCCACACCTGCCGCCGCCGCCTGGGCCCCGCCACTCCCCTCCCCTCCCAAAGGCGGTGCACAACCCGCCCAGGCCCCGCCCCAAGCCCGGGGAGGGGGGTGGTGCATGCTCACCCGCGGTCGCCAAGGTGACGATGACGTCACCAGGCCACCGGGTTCGGAATGTTCGGGCGGCGGCGGTTGCCCGGAGACGCCGGGCCGGCGCGCCGCCAGGGGCTGGCTCCCAGGCAGACTCCGGACGCCAGTACGCGCTGTCCCGGCCCGCCTGGCTCCGGGCCTCCCTCCCTCCCTCCCTCTGTGATTCCAGAGGGATGCCGGGTTCCGGTCCTCACCCACGGTCGCGGCTCCGCCCGGGACCCACCTCCCTTCCCAGCCCCTGCCTGTGTCCCGAGTTTGTCTGCCAGCCCCATCGGCACTGCCATCATCCTCCTGTCTCAGGCCACCATCCTCATCCCCTGGTCCGCCGACCACCGCCATAACCTCTTACTGGGAAGTGGTCTTTCCTTCCTTCACCCTGTCTGTCCTTGCATGCTGTCATCCACCTGCCAGGCAGCCAAAGCTCTGATCAAGCGCTTAGCAGACCAAGTGGCTCCTGTATAACACCCTCCCTCCACTGGCTTCCCAGCACACCAGCCTGAAATCTAACTTTTTTTCCCCCCTCCTATATTGTATTGATTTTTATTTTATTTATTTATTTACAGAGAGGAAGGAAGAGGGATAGAAAGAAACATCGATGAGAGAGAAACATCGACCAGCTGCCTCCTGCACACCCCCCACCGGGGATGTGCCCACAACCAAGGTGGAATCGAACCTGGGACCTTTCAGTCCGGAGGCCGATGCTCTATCCACTGAGCCAAACCGGTTTTGGCAAATCTAACTTCTTGGGCCCCTGGGAGAGCAGAATGACTTGCCTCTGTCTTACTCTCCATTTCATTGCCCCCACTCTCCTCCTCACCCACACCCCCCTAGTGACACTGGCCTTTTTGACCTTCACAGAACACACCAAGCTTATTCCTGCCTCGGGGCCTTTGCACGTGCTGTGCCATCTACCCCGAAGGCTCCTTTTTCAGATCTTTAGTGGCTGGACTCCAGTTCAAATGTCTCTCCAGAAAGGCCTTTCCTGATCCATATTTCCCCTACCTCCCCCTCCTACCCCTTTCCTGTCCCCCCATTTTAAGGAGGCTTTCCCCCAAATCATCACACTGCAATATGTTTTCCTGAGGACCCGTCATCACAATATAACATTATCCTGCTTATGTACTTGCTTATTGTCGGTGTTCTTCAGACTATTCCTGCATAGCAAACCACCTCACATTCAGTGCTTAAATAACAACCATTTTATAATGCTCATGAATTCCATAGCTCAGGAATTTGGACAAAGCACAGTGGGATGGCTTGTCTCTCTGCCAGGATGTGTGTGGGGCCGCAGCTGGGAAGTCTCCAAGGCGGGAGTGATTGGACAGTGAGGGGCTGGGAACATCTGAAGATTCACTCACTCACATGTCTGGCAGTTGATGCTGGCCGTTGGCTGGGACCTCAGCTGGGATGTCAGCCAGGACACACATGCACAGCCTCTCCATGTGACCAGGGCCGCCTCCCATGCATGGCAGGCTCGGGGTAGTAGGACTTCCTGCATCTCAAGGCTCCTGAGGCATGTCTATGCCCCAGCGAACGAGGCAGAAGCTGCATTGCCTTTTATGACCTGGCCTCCGAAGTCACACAGAATCACTTCTGCTGCCTTCTGTTGGCTACACATGAGTCACCCATCTGCCTAGACGGAAGGGAAAGGATACTAGACACCACCTTCTGATGAGGAAGAGGCAAAGTTCCAGAAGACGTGTGGCCGTCTTTGCAAAGTGCCACCTACTCAGTCAAGTCTTCCCCCACTAGAATATCATCTCCGCGCAAACACTTCCCACCTGCTTATTGTCGCAGCCCCAGTGCCTGGCGCGGTGCAAAAGCACACAGTAGGTGCTCAATCCACGTTTTAGAATGAATAAATAAAGGTCTTTCTTTCAAAGAGTCATTTGAGCGCCGCTCTTCTCCCTCTGAGTGTATTTACTGCTCCAGTCCTTGCTTTGGGCCTGGTCTGCTCCGGAGGAAGCCCCGTGCTTGCACTAGAAGGTAACTGTAGCTTTTGTCTTGTTTTGTTTCTGGTTGCAAGTGGGCGCGGGTTGGAGGGGGGAGGGAGGGCAGCACAGGGAGTGGAGTTACTGGGGATTGAGAAATGTGTAGCCGGAGAGGTTCTGGAACAGTGTTCTACTTGTAAGGGATGTTGAAAACCCAGTCTGTTTTTTTGGCATTCTGAACCCTTGACATGCCCAGGAGAGGACTGTGCTTTTGCCCGCCAGGCCATGGGGAGCCAGAAAATGGCCCAATGGGAATGGAGCTTTGGAGGGGTACCTCCAGCAGCAGGGTTGGGGGTGGTGGTGGTGAGGGTGTGTGTGTGATGCCTCAGGAGCCACTGCAGAGCCCACAGGTCTGTAAGCATGCACAGATTCTCCC